TAGTGTTATAGGAGTCAGGAGTATCATATGAGAGGAGGGTGAGTGTTATTCATCTCGAAGCTCAGGCCACTCAGGTAAGTGTTGTGCACCTACGGGATGTCCATGTATGTGTGCATGGTATTGGTTATTCTGGGTTTCTTTCCTACTACTCTCCTTTGTGGTCTTGATCGTGTGTTTAAATGTGTGAACTACTTACTCACCTGATGGATGGAGAACTGAAGTTATCTTCATTTGAATGCCGAATCCTTCTACAGTGCTTTGTCTTTTCATCTGAATGGCTGTAGTCTGTAGGTTCTGCTGGAAGTTTAAATTCCTTTTTCAGTACGGTAGAGGCAGAAATTGATTCCATGTGGGACTCCTCTTGGTTGGGACTCCGTCACGACTTACATGGGACCCTTAAGGACCCAGTGGGATCGGGCCCAAGCAAGAAGGGCGTTGGACCCAATCTAATAGACATTGGTTCATTCTCTTTCTGAAGTTTCATTCTTTTGGTTAGAACACCCGCTGCAGAGGGGATCTCGGCTTTAATGTTTCACATGCTTTGATTGCACCGTCCATGGCTTGACTCGCACCTTGTACAACACTCTACGACGTAAACATCGTTTGTATCAAAGCACCGACCAGGCAGAGCTAAAAGGGAGGGAGGAGCATGAATGCAGAGAGCACGGGAAAGAGAGCAAAGCGGTGGAGCACAAGGGGAGATTAAGAAGGGAGAGAAAAAGGAAAGAGCGAAGGAGAGATTAGAAGGGGAGAGAGCAAAACAGGAGAGTGAGAGGGAAATGGCGACGGAATACCATAAGCGGAGGAGCATGGGAGGGAGGATAAAGACAATGGATGTTGCTAGAACGATTTCACTTGAGATATTAGAGAAACAAGTGGACCCGCCGCGGTGCCGTCATGGCAGCAGGAGGGGAGGAGGGAAGCGGAGAAGAGAGTGGAGGAGGGAAGAGGAGGAGGAGGGAAGAGGAACGGGGCGGAGACGAACAGACAGACAGGAATAGTTGCCAGAAATCACTTGAAAGTTGACGGAAGATGCAAAGTTGCAAACATGCATACGGGCAAAAAGAAGGGGGGAAAAAAGACACTTGGGGGAAAGGTAGAACAAAGACGTGACTAGCTATTACAGCAAAGAACATACAAGGCAAAAATACAAAAGGACATGATTAACACGCATTGCCCAATTGGTCCACATGGCGGTCTGCTGTTAACTGTTTGCTTTCTTCTTTCTTTTGCATCATCGACGGTGCCTGTCTTTTGATCCTCCTATTGGATCTTTGTTGATTCTTGCTCCATCTCGCTCTGGAGTGTCTTCCCATCGTCCTCCCTCCTCGCTCTTTCGTCCTGGAAGCTTGTACAGGTGTTCATCCTCCCATGGATGGTTTATTCCTGTTGCATCTCACTCATGTGGCCCACTTCTATCCACTCTTTCCCGTGGTCCTCCCTCCTCCTCTCTCTTTCCTTTTAGAAGCATCCACGTGTGTTCATCTTCCCATAGATGGTTGATTCCTACTGCATCTCACTCCGTCGCCCATTTGTCTCTGTCGATCTACTCTAGATCTGTGCGTCCACGTGGCGGTCTGCTGTTCGCCCTTTTTTTTTCCTCTTCTTTTTTTTTGTGCCTTAGACGCACTGGGTACATATAATACCGGGACAAAAAAGAAAAAAGAAAAAACACAAAGGGACACGATAATCACACATGGCCATCCATCCACGTGGCAGTCGGCTGTTAGCTATATGTTGACCCTACTGTGGATCGTTGATTCCTGCTGCATCTCGCTCCGGTGCACCATTCCCCTGTCCACCCACTTTTTCCCGGCATCCTTTGTCTTCCCTCTTTCCTCCTTAAAGCATGAGATCGTGTTCATCCTCCCGTGGATTGTCGACTCCTGCTGCATCTCACTCCCGTGGCCCATTCCTCCNCCCTCTTTCCTCCTTAAAGCATGAGATCGTGTTCATCCTCCCGTGGATTGTCGACTCCTGCTGCATCTCACTCCCGTGGCCCATTCCTCCCCTCGCTCCACGTGGCGGTCTGCTCTTGGCTGTCTTTTCATGTCCATCCTCCTGTCAATTTTTTTGGTTTATGCCGCATCTTGCTCCCATGGGGCATTCCTCTTTATCCACCCGCTCTTTCCCATCCTCCTCCCTCCTCCCTCTTTCCTCCTGGAAGCATACAATGCCCGCCCTCCATTTTCCCAGGATCTTCGACATGTGCAAGCAACATACAGATATGGGACGACGGAGCAATCCCAAGACGAGATCCGGTGGTGGCTTTCTTTCTCGTTTCTTTTTCTACACAAAAGCATCCCGAGATGAGATCGATGCAGACTACGACATTCACAGCGATCCACGGAGATCAGGGTAGCAGGTTGTTTTTTATTTTTGGCATTTTTCGAGAAAGCATCCTGAGCAGATCGACCCAGACGACGACATTCAGAGGGATCGATGGAGATTGGGGTGTCAGGTACAGAGGGACAGATGGGGGGGGGAGGCGCGGTGGAGGGGGGAGAGAGAGAGAGAGAGAGAGAGAGGGAGAGGAGAACAACAGGGTAAGGAGACAGATAAAAAGTGGGAGGAGGTTCAGCCATCTTGCAGTTCCTCTACCGTACCAATACACCGGGCTTTTGTGTGTGTGTGTGTGTGCGTGTGTGTGTGTGTGTGTGTGTGTGTGTGTGAGAGAGAGAGAGAGAGAGAGAGAGAGAGAGAGAGAGAGAGAGAGTGTGGCCCCTTATAGGTTTGGGATTTAAAATTTTTTTCCTAAGCTCACCCCTGCCACAAGAAACATGGTCGAGCTTTTCACTCTGGGCACAGCCCCTGAGAACTGTGGAAACAAGGCAATGAAGCATTGGTTGATGACATCAGAGAAGAAATCAGGAATTGCTTGTTAGGATGTTTTTCCCCCTAGGTCTCTTTCCGAGTGAACTAGGGGAAAACAAGAAGAGATACAAGAGGCGGGAAAATCGTGGTCACGAGCAGGGCGGTACATATCCAGAGTATGAATTTCATTATCCGGCGATGGTGTCTTGGTGACAGGCCAGGCATCAGAATCATCAGCCACGCATTGAGCACCGCCTCCCCATCAAGCCCAAAAACAGGGGCCATGTTCAGAAGGGCAAGGGCGATTGAAACATGGAAAACAGAGATAACCAGACGTTTGATACCCCATGATAGCCAAATCATCACTAACAACAACAGGGAGGGCGTGGACCTGGACCATTCTTCCTGGACCATTCTTGGGGAAAAAGCCATGCACGAGGATAATATTCCGTGACACGGAGGGCTGTTGTTACCACATGAGGATCACCAACAAAGACCAAGTCTGACTCACACCTCCCCATGAAATACCCTTGGGACACTCTGGCACATCCCGAGGGTTCTCGACTGCCACCTGTTTTCAATACACGATGGTCATCACTGAACGTCCTAACAGGTTGCCGATGCAACCGTACTGATACAGCCCTTGGGTCCAGCATATGTCGGGCCGTCGTCATGGGGRATCGCTGTTGATCCAGYCGAGGATCTGGGTCTGCAGCAGACTCATTTCGCTGTTTGCTACTGGCCACGAAGCCAGCCGCAGACCTGAGACTATGAGCACCTGCCCATCTTCCTCTGTGTTGAGCTTTATTACAGGAGTTTCTGGCCCCCCAGATGAAGGACACTCTTAACAGGGCTTCTCCAAGGTGCAACTTCGGCACCAAACATGCTGAACCAAGGCTGCACTCGCAGCTACCTCCGAGCACTCTTGGATGATGACATCTTGGTGAAGAAACAACCGATGTCGCCCGTAAGCASACTGCTCGTCRTGGAGGACGTGTCGGGACACTTGKTCCACTGTTGTGAGAGTCATCTCGCATGCGTGCTTCGCCTGTTGATTCCTGCCCTCCTGCAGCGACTTCGACARTCTCCTCGCCCTTCATTTTGTCGCCTCCCTCGCAGTAAATGGCCTGGAATACCAAGCAACCTTTCTCCTCACACTTCTGGCAAAATGACGCAAATCTCGTGCCAACACTGTGTGGGATGTCTCTGTCTCCCTTACCCCCCAAATTGTCTAACCCCAGCTTGTCATCTCGCAAGAGCCATTCATCATTGATGGAGCGAAGATTCATCCTCTGTGGAATACCATTTCCCAGCCGCCCTCCTTCCCCTCCACCGCCATCGACAGCTCCGCCGTCAGCGAGACCAGATGACTCTGTATGCAGATCTGAATTGAACTTGTTCCAAGGAGAAACATCCCTCCTATTAGGAGGCAGTAGCGTTGCGTTGGGGACGAAAGCCCGGGCAGACGACCGATTCGTCGTCCATCTGTTCGTGTAATCAATGCCGTCCTCATCCAGCTTCACCTCGCAATCCTCTTCCTTTCCCTGCCAAACAGAATTTGGGACACAATAGCCATAATACCACGACTGCTGCCAGCCGTAATGGGAGTCATTCCCTCCCAACGCTGTCCCACCGGCACGGTCCACTGTCGTTCCCACCACTATCGGATTCCAGGTAGAATTTACATCTACTGTTGCGACTTTTGAACCTGCGCCACTGCCAAACAGACTCGCAGAAAACAGCCCCTTTCGCTTCACATCACCAGCATCCCCGTTGCCGATCGGATTACCATCGATCGCAAAAATCACATCCCCGGGGTGCAAATGCGATAGGAAAGGTGACGATTCAGGTATAGATGCTACCACCAAGCCTACGTCAGAGGTATAAAAAGGGGTAAAGAGAACCGACAAACTGGTCAGGAGCACGCAACACAGTGCAGAAAGTGCAATGTTATGCCATACGCCCGCCGAAAAGATGGCTAAGGAATGCACAAGAGACATATTGTCCATGTCCACTGCATCTAGTGCAACCCAGGCACCTGGAAACACCACAATTAAGAAGAAAGCCACGTGTTCGATCCGAACGCCCTCGGCGGAGGCTGCCAATGCATGACCCAATTCATGAATCGTGATTGCGAGAGCTGTAGCACACCATAGATATCCAACCTCACCCCACGGTATGTTGACCCCTGGAATGATGGGCGTGATCACCCGCGAGGAAGGGCCCGTCCAGGGCCGGTGTTGCTGTATATCCGCTCTCCTCTCGAGGCCTGCAAACCAGATCTTCCACTCGAGGACAGCCCGACAAGCATCCCACAGCAGGATGAAAATCACAAGCGCCATTCCCACGGTCCCAAACAGAGTGCCGATGGAGTACCACAAGCGAAACCCGCACCTGTACCGAAATCCCCATTGCTGCAACTTCCTATTCAGATAAGTCGTTTCGACAGACAACCACCCAGGAAAGACTTTGACGGAGGAGCTGCCTCTGATGGCAGAATCCCGATCCTGTCGGCTTAGTCGTCTTCTCCTCCTCCGCCCGCCTCTCTCACAAACCACCTGGGAAATAACAAAAATCGCTACCCAACCGCACAAGATCACAACAGCAGCATTAAGCATCAACACCATCTTCCTCTTCGTCTCTCTCTCTCTCTCTCTCTCTCTCTCTCTCTCTCTCTCTCTCTCTCTCTCTCTCACACTCTCTCTCACACACACACACACACACACAAACAAAAACACACAAAAAATCACACACACCTACCTTGACCTCTCTCCCTGCCTACCTTCCCTACACACACACACACACACACACACATACACACACACACACACTCACACACACACATACACACACACACACACACACCTACCTTTACCACTCTCCCTCCCTCCCTTCCCTATTCCCAAACAAAAAACCTGTCGCTCTTAAAGTAGAACTCAACAGGACCTTCCACACTCGTTGATGAGACAAGACACGGCTTTGGGCACCTTGGATGACTAGTACCACATAAGGAAAGCATTGTCTTCTCCACCTCGGAAGAGAAGTCTGAAAGTGGCAGCATGCCTCTCTTTTCCTCCCTTTTTAAAAAGAAGACAAAAATCAAGCATAAATCGGGTCTTCCTTCCACGAGTACAAAATGCGGGAAAAAAGGGCATTTCCTTTCCTTGTTGAAAGTCCAAACAGAAGTGGATGTGATGGCCTCTCATCAATGTGACCACCCCCTTGTTATGCCTCTATTGAGTCTATTCTCATCACTTCCACCCTTGATTGCCTTGGGAGTCCCAAAAAGTTATCAGACCACATTGAGAATGCGGTCCAGCAGTCTATCTGTGTCTCTCTGCCTCTCCCCCCATCTAGTTATCGATTTATCTACCCATCCAACTTGCCTATCAAATCCGCATGTCTATCTATCTCCCGTTTTATCGGTACATATATACATGACCTTATGCCCCTTCATGATTCATGACGCAGCTACTCGCTACTTCGTGCACACCCCTACATTTCTCTCAACAAGTCCGGAACACAATCTCTATTATTGACAGCATATACATATTGTGACCAAAACAATAGGTTAGTCGAGGAAGACNACACACACACACACACACACAAAATCACACACACCTACCTTGACCTCTCTCCCTGCTTGCCTTCCCTACACACACACACACACACACACACACACACACACACACACACACACACACACACACACACACCTACCTTTACCTCTCTCCCTGCCTCCCTTCCCTATTCCCAAACAAAAAACCTGTCGCTCTTAAAGTAGAACTCAATAGGACCTTCCACACTCGTTGATGAGACAAAACACGGCTTCGGGCACCTTAGATGACTAGTACCAAATTGAACCCTACAACATGAGAGCTTCAACTTTCAAGATCGGGAGAGCAGCAACTTTTATAAATTGAGAAGCGTGGTTCATCCCATGTAATCAGGGGACAATCAGGTCTCTACCAACAGCGGACACCTACATCAGATGCATATGCATACACATATGCTGGAAGAGTCACCGAAGTTCCCCAACATATGCATGCTTCAACGCATACTCGGGCTTTGCTGAATGTATCAGGTAGTAAGAGTTACGGCCAAATTGAGTTGAGAACGAGACCGTATATGCTTTGATGACATCTGTCCAATTAATTGGAAGCTACAAGACAGAGAAGACAGTGTCTGTGCGGATCTCAGATGTTGTAGCTTCTACAGGAACTTGACTCCACCTATAGGGATTACCACAGCATCGCACACCACTGTCTTCTTGGTCTTGCGGATCAGTGTCTTCTTGGCCCAGTATAGGTGGGGACAATCGGGTCTCTACCAACATCGGACACCTATATGCCTTTTATGCCCCAGTATAGGTGTCTGTGCGGATCAGTGTCTGTGCGGATCTCAGATGTTGTAGCTTCTACGCGCTGGCGCACATCAGTAGGGCCTCAGTTCCATATCAGGATCTCTGATGCTGTAGCTTCTTCAGGAACTTGAATGAACCACGTTCAGCCAATTGAGTAGACGGATTACCACAGCCTCGCACGCCCGCGCCATGCTTTCTATGGCCCAGTAGGCCCACTTAAATGTCTCCACGCGTGTATATATCCAGCCTGCAACACCGCAACAAGACCCAGACCACATCCCGACGCACACAACTCACACACCCACCATTGCCAAGCAGATCCAACACACAAACATCATACCCCTAAATCAGCGTATAGCCTAATTTCCTACACAAAGAAAAACGCGTTCCCATTCAAAAACTAGACAGCTCTCTCTCTCTCTCTCTCTCTCTCTCTCTCTCTCTCTCTCTCTCTCTCTC